CTGCAGCGTGCAGCAGCAGCAGCTTCCCCGTTCTGGCTGCACGTCCAGAGGTAATTAAAGCTGCAAAAAAAAAAGAAAAAAAAGTGTGCTTGCAATCTGACAGTTTCACCGTTCTGCAGTTTAATCTGAGGCTCAGTCAGCCCCGTTTTATAATGCAGAGCCTTTTCAGGGGCTCTCCTGCTCCCCCAGACCCTCCTGTTTTCATAGAAACACAGATCACAAATTCATTCACACACACAGAGCGAGAGAGAGAGAGAGAGAAAGAGAGAGAGAGAAGATTGCAAGAAAAAAAAGGGCTAGGGCTAAGAAGTTGTTGATGCATTAAATGCTGCATAACACACACAAATATCTTTACAAATTCTCCCATAATGCCGTCAGAACGTCAAGAGATTTGTTTTGTTTATCAATATTCCACATCAAAATATTATGAGCTTGTGAGTGACCTTGTGTGAAGTGGCGAGTGCAGGCAAATACTTTACAGTTGAAAGATTCAACATAAAAACGTCCTGACAGCTTTTATCGGCCTCCATGTATTTAATTGTCTCAAAGATCAATGCAAAGTGCTGACCCTAACGCGCCATGTGTCCGTCAGCATTAACATGCAGTCAGCGACAAATATCATTTGACTGCAATAAACTGAGCTCTTTAGAAAACTTTATTTATTTATTTATTTTTTATTAAAACCGAATTGTGTGAAGGCCTGTTTTGTTCTTTTTCACGTATTCATTCTATTGTTATTCTATAGGAGTTACAGTCTACTGGTTTCCAATCCGCACTGGAATTTAACCCTGAAACGCCAGCAGCGGTATAATGGCTTGTCTTTGCTCCCAGTATGGCCCCTCCAGGTTCCAGCAACAGCAGCAGCAGCAGCAGCAGCAGCCGTGCGGGGCCAGACAGCCCCACCATCCCCGGATCCCCTTATCAACCTCGAGGCTTGGGCCTGGACCATATACCGCAGTCTCATTAATCAGGGAAACATCACGTCAAGTGTGGCAGATTGAGAGAAGGGCAAGTCTGGTCAAATTCTCTTAGAAAAGTTGCGTGGTTCTGACCTGCAAGATAATCTGACAGGCCAGTAGCCTTCGGGCGAGTTTATCTGTGTTCCTGTACACACCTATGAAGTAGCTGTGGAGTGTTAGTTTATTTTATTGTGTTTATCCCCTCTGCCATCACTACACTCTGGGTTATATGCTATTCCCGTGTGCAGCTGCAGTTTTGCTGCAGGATTCCTACTTATCTCGTTGTTTATCGAGGGGAATAATGATGCTTTATTCGACAAGTTGGCTTCAATCTCTACACACAAGCTTCCTGCAGATGCATGCAGGCTACAGTGGTGTTTGTTTTATGAGTTACACAAAGGTTGTGTGTCCCTGCGGGAGTGTTGTTTAGTCCAGCTTATTGAGGTTTCTCTCTGCTTCATGCATAAAACCCGAGTTAGCTTGCACCACCTCATGTGCAGTGGTTGGAAATGCTGCATGCGTAAATGTCTGCGGTTTGCCTCTTGTTATTATTGCAGGCTCCGCAGGCCTACCACTTCTTCCGTCACACACCCCTCACATACACCGGGGAAGGGAATCCCTCTCTACTGTAAGAGTTTGACTGAACTGAAGATACTGTATGTGACCTTTTCTTTTAGGGTTAACTATTTACCACCAGTCATCATTAGCTCTATTGTTAGTTTAGACTGCCCACAGTGTGGATAAGCACTACTGTAAATCCATTTAAGGTCCATTTCCTTTCAAATCACTTATCTGTTATTTCATTGAGGTCTGGATATGTATTTTTTTCCCTAAACGCCTTTAAACATTTATGAAATTAATCTTACAGAGTAAATTAATGGACTGAGGACATTTTATGACAAACTTGTGCAGCATATATCAAAGATGAAAAGCAGCTGTGTTCCCAAAATAAAAGATAATAAAACAGAAAAGGGAACCCCCATAAGGAAAGTTTAAAAATGACTTCATTTCTTTGTTTTCATAACCCTCTCCTTACGCAAATCCCAGGCCAGTTTCTCCATCATTAAATCTGTTTAACGACAAATGATTGTCCAACTCAAAAGAAAGAGAAAGAGTCTGACAATTACACTCAGTCGCGTTTAATGAATGCTTCATAATTAAAAAAAGAAAGGGAAAGTGCTTCAGAAATCCACCGTTCAAGTTTCCATTTCGAGTGCAGCTGTACTATATATATATTCACAACAAAAAAAATTAATATACAAGAAACCCCAGAAAATTCACAAAAATAAATATTCAGTCTCATATAAACAACCAGTGACTTCAAATTCCATGTCAAAAACCTGACCTCAAGTATTGTATCAAAACAGCGAAGTAAATGAGTGAATGAGGAGGGCAGGGTAGTGGGGAAGAGGAGGAGGAGGATGGGGGAGAGAGCACGCAGCCTCTAGCTGCTGCGCGATGCAATTGTTTACATTGATAGCGTCACTGTCAGAGAGCTATTTGTCTTAATGGTGGAAAGGCCCTCCCAACAGGCCATTACCACCATCCCCGTCCCTCAGCCGTGCATTGTGAGCACTGCGTGAGAATAGGCTGGTGCGTCAGGGGGGCAAAACCCGCACAGCTTTGGGCACAGGCTATTCCTCTTCTTCCTATGCCGTGCAGCCTATGCTTTTGACATGCGGATTAAAGGTTGAAAGCTTCGCTCTTGCAACACAGCGACACCCCCCTCCCCTCAACCCTGTGCAACCCCCTCCGTTTTTTTTTGTTTTTTTTTTACTGCTAGCCTGCTCATACACCAGCTTGTGTCATAGCTTCAGAAATAGCCGGTTTACAGGCTGAGAATAAGTTCAAGTTTGAATTGTTGCTCCAGCCTCAGAAATAAGGCCCATGGTGAGTTGGGGCTTCATGGCTGCAAAGTGGTGCTTTAATAACATGGCTAAACATCTACCATATGTATCCACACTGATTTAGGCGGAGTGAAACTCGCTTTTTTTTTTGTACATTTTTTCCTCTTTTTACAATCACCCATTAAATAGTTTCTACAATCCTCTGAATGAATGCACCCTTTGCTGTGCTTGTGAGGAGGCTGACATCATTCACGGGCTTTGGGTTTGTTGTGATCTGGCTCGCCATAAGCTGGGCCTCTCTTTGTCGCCGACAGAAAAGCCTGCCAATTAGCAGAGCGCGTCCTGCACTGCCATTAAAAACATCTACACATTTCCTTAAAATCCAAACATGTAGGTGCAGCTTCCACCACTTGATTTACTCACTCTTTCATTCACGATGAAGTCAGAGGAGCTACAACTAAATGTATGAAATCTACCTGGGGTACTACATTCACTGAGCGGCCATATTCAAAAGGCTACATTAATGCAATGTGAGATAGTGATCTATTTGACAGAAGGAAAGCGATATTTTTTTTTAAAATAAGAAGCTAATTGTATTTTGGGTGTCTCAGCCAATAATAGGAAATAAATGACGTTTTTCCAGCTCTGATCGTGACAATCGACGTCAACTAAAAATAGAATAATGAACAACATTGGCTTCAGGAAATTAGCATATTATTAAATTATAGGAAACCAGAAACCCATCAGGGTATGTTTAGAAACGCACATGGATAAATCCTAAATATAGTACATATCAAAGAGCAGGAAAACGAATGGAGTTTGGCCTTTTTGTTTACATCCAAATTAAACTGTCTCATCTTTAGTCTGTTTTTTTTTTTCTATCAGCATCTCTCTGACATCATTTCACAGGCTCGTCAGAAAACCCTAAAGCTGAAACGGGACCCCCAACAGTATCAAAGTGCAATGCATTTAAGCCTATCACTTGTGCTTTGTCGCATTGTTTCTGGGTAGCCAGTGTAGCTAGAAGGTGTTTCACGCTGTTTTGGTGCTGTTTCCCCCCACGGTGACTCCTGATTCACATCCCACTGGCAGCCTATCTTGGACATTGTCAATATGTCTGTGTTTTACATTTTCCTGACTTACGTTCGTGCTCTGAACGCAAATACAGACTCGTTCCCCTGGCACAAATATGATGTGCAGAGGAAATCGGTGGCCACGTGGACCTGAAGAGGGACACGAATCGAGTCTGTCGTGGGACCTAACGTGCTATGAAGGTCTGAGCCTTATTCTTTTTGATTGTCTGTACATAAGGCCTGTGTTGTGTCTGGGCCTGCGTCTGTGCACAATCACACACATTTGCAAACCAGGAAATACTCCGCAGAAGGAAAAACAAGACTGAAAACCAGATCACAAGCACTCTAAAAAAACCCACAACCACCAGGAATAAATTCCTGTCAAATCTAATAAAGGCTTAACTGTGAGCATGTATAGATAGACATTAATAAACCCATTTTAATCATTCTAAACACTTGGACACAAGGGCCAGTGTGGCCAAGCAGTCGTGAAAGAAAACACAGCTTTGATATATAAAATGTGCCCAGTGGCACAGAATGGGAACCCTGACATTTTTTTTTTTTTTTTTTTTTGGGATTTACCAAGTCAAACTTCCTCTCAGTTCCAGCTAGATGAAGAGTAGCCTCATCCCAAGGAATGCTGTGATTTCTTTCTTTTTTTTTTACCCCCTTTCTTCTTTCAGACAAAAGCACAAACCACTGAAACCCTGGCACCATATACAATCCAACAGGTCGAGCATAGAAAAGCGAAGAAGAAACAGTCGAGTTGAGAAAAACAAAAATCAAGTACACACAATAATGAGAACCTAACGTATTGCTTAGGATTGATAGCTTATTTCAAAAACACAAGTTTTTAAGCATAAATCCACGAGCGGTGTCTCACAGTCCTGTGGGCGTTTTCTGAGGCTCCAAAGGGGGGATCTTGTAGGTTTTCCTCGATCAAACTTAAAAACAAGACGGAATGTAAATCCATTCACAGAAAAAAAGGGGGGGACGAAAAAAAAAAACACACACCGATAAAGTTTGGAGCAATTTGGTGGATTCACGTTAAGACTCGGGCTACACTTATGTTGGAGATGGACACCGTGGGGGTTTTTGTTGTTCTGCTTTAAAAAACCAGCTCAGTATTTCCTAGTTTTCTGAGCGTGTGGGGGAGGGAGAATGTGGCCGCCTGGCTGCCACCTCCACACGGGGTGGGACGGAGGGGGAGGCCCGGGGCCCCTCAGTGAGTTCAGGGAGTAAGCAGGGCACAAATCCCCGTCGCTGCCAACAACCAGCGACGGCGGCGATGGGAAATTTGCCATCAGGCTGAAAAGCATTTTTGCAGGCGATACTACAGTGCTGGCGCTGCTGCGTTTGCGTCTGCTCGGTAAATCCTCCGTGGATGTCTCCTCGCAGCCCACGGGACGAGAAGAAGAAGAAGAAGAAGAAGAAGAAGAAGAAGAAGAAGAAGAAGAAGAAGAAGAAGAAGAAGAGGATGAAGAGGAGGATGAAGAGGCAGGCTTGTTGACCCTGGGCACGTTTTGTTTTGTTTGAGTCCTGGAAACTCGGGGTTTCTTATTCCCCAGCGCTGGAGCCCTGTAGTTTTTGTTCCTGTGCTCCCCTTCCTCGATACATGGGGTGTCCTGGGTGCTCCTGCATTCCTGAGGACTCCTGCACGGGGACCTGGGGGCCACGTCAGGGCTCTTCTCGGTGGCTTTAATCCCGATGTTGAAAAAGTCCCCTTGTTTGATGACTCCGCTGGGATATTGGCCATTGCTGCTCTCTGACTTATCTCCTTTACACTTGACTACAGTGGCCTGGTTCTGGTATTCATATTCATCACAGCTTTCCTCCACTTTAATTTTCACATTGTGGAGGTTGAAGGGAGGTGTCCTGGCTGTCCTGCCGCTGTCCGAGTGGGGAGCGGCGGTCACACAGGGCTCCTCCGCCTCTGTTTTAATTTTTTTCAGTGGAGTGAGCAGTTTCAGGCTGATGGCTTTCGCCTCCCTTTTATCGGTACATTTTGTGAGCTTGGCGTCTTTGTCCAGGTCACACTGCGAGCTCAGTCCCGGGGGGCATTTGGTGGGATACCCCGATGTCCTGCGTGTGGGGTGAAAGGCCTTGCTCCGGTTGAGTCCCAGTGAATAAGAGTTCAGCTCAACCACAGGGTCAGCCCTGCGTGGATCAGCCTCAGATGCCCTCTCCCTTTTGGACTCAGTGAAAAAGCTCTCCCCGACTACAGCTGAGTTAAATTTTGGTGGCTGTAAGGGTCCCACGTCTTTTCTAGTTTCACTACAAATAAATTCACATTTTTGCTGTCTCTCCTGTCTACTGTCCCCTGCCTGTGAAGTGGCAACATGGCACAGTGTCCTGTGTTGTTTCTCTTGTTGTGGCTGGTTGTTGTAGTGAAATGTGGGCTGCAGGACCAAAGGTGCTTTACTAGTGCTGAGACTTTTGGCGAGAGAACCCACCCGGGCCCGTCTGAACCGGATGCTCTGGACAGAAACACGGCTTGAAACTGAGCTGGAGTCGGACTGAGAGGAGCTCTCTTCCTCCTCTGAGCTGACCTCTGAACTCTCTGACTGCGTGTCATCTTCATCCTCGCCCTCCTCTTCCTCCTCTGAGCTCCCGGAGTTGCTGGTGGTGGAGAAGCCGGACCCAAAGTCCGAGTCGGGGTACACCCGGTCCGAGTAGGTGCTGGACTCAGTGTCACTGCTATAACTCTCCGGGAAAGTCGGTTCGTGGTGGTGGTGATGATGATGATGGTGATGCTGGTGGTGATGATGGTGGTGAGGTCTAGGGTCAAGATAGAAATCCGGACCGAGGTGGAAAGCGCCATAAGAGTTCCCGTGACTACCGGATGATTTGGGTTGTACCAGCAGCACCGGTGGTGCGTGGTGGTGCGCGTGTCTGCTTCTGCTCCACGAGTGCCTCGCGCTGTCCCTGCCGCCGCCCCCCTCGCGCCTCCTCTTCCTTTTGTGAAGTAGGTCGCCGGCTGAGCGCGAGAGCCTGGACTGAGCAGCTATGGCGGACTGAAGCACCACCGGCTGCCGGCTCACCGCGCTCCGGAAAAACGAGTGCCTTTGGCTCAAAGTAACGCGGTTCCCTGTTATTTTTGCAGTTTCATAGTTTTTAAAGTGTTTGTGACTGGACTTAGTCGCTGAACGGTAGTCCCGTCCGTGAGATTTGTGGTAAAATTGAGGTAGTTTGGAGTCGGTAAGGCAAGGAGTCAGCTCTCTCCGCCTGCCCGTTTTGTTGTGAAGTGTAAGAGTCTCCGGGACACCGTGCAAACTAAACCAAACTTTTTCCTTCCACAGCTCGGCGTCGGCACGGAGGAGCCCCGAGGACGCATCAACATCCCCGGGGGAACACACCGCTTTCGCTTTTCTTTTGTTGGACTTCAACACCCGCTCAGTCTTGCAGGAGAAATACAGAGCCTCCACGTCCTCCCGCGATATGAGAGTGCATTTAGCGGCATGGAAAGCTATAGAGTTTATTGCTTTGAGCTTCCGCAGCTCCTCCAGGTCGCAGTGGTGCTTCTTTACTTTCAGGTGGTCCATGCGCTTGTGCACCGTGGTCCGAGGGATGTTCTTCAGCAGGTCGGTGAAGACCTGAGACAAAGCAAACATTTGCTTGCCTTTGATGAGCAGGTATCCCAATCTCACTCCTTGCATTTCCTCAAAACCACTCTCCAGGTCTCCCATGTTTTATATATCCGCTCCAATGTATTAATCCATGTAGTCACTCTCAGTATAGGCTGTTATGGATTTACCAGTAAATGGCATGGGGTCGCGAGCTCAAGACATCCTGCTCATACCTTTAATCCATCCACACTGCTGCGTCATGAAAATGTAAACTTTGACATGCGGAGTTAAATGGAGCTGCCGGTGTCTAATAGGTTGAATGAGCCGACAGCATCCACTCGTCGCCTCTTGCCCCGGTCCGGCATGGTGGAGGAATGCGACGGATGCGTCCACCAAGCCGGGGCTGCTGCTACCTGCCTCTGCCGGCTACACTCCCCTCTGGTCGGCAGCAGGACGAGGGGTAGGTGTACACCACTGCTTCAGCCAGAGGAATAAAACAGGGAGAAGAGAGAGAGAGAGAGAGAGAGAGAGAGAGGGAGGGAGGGAGGGAGTGAGAGGGAGTTGTGAGGGTGGAGGGGAGGGAGAAAGAGAGAGAGAGTCAGAGAGAAACAGAATAAGAGCTAAAATGCAGCTGCTATTCTGGCTGCTGGTTGAGCCACAAATAAAATGACAGAGAGGGGAGGTGCGCCAGTCTGGAGACACCTTCATCAATTAATGCCCTCGGAGTCGACGCCCATTGGACGCCGCTGACAGGTGATGCAATAAAAATGGATATTCCACCCCCTACCATTACAATAGTTTACAATTGAGCCCACAGTCTCCACTGTTTGAGTAAATAATGCAGTTATGACAAGTTCATATTTCAATAGCTGAATAAAGAGCTGATAAAAATTCACCCCGGCCCATAGTGCTTGTACAACCGGAATAGGTAACCCGAGCCTGCAAAGTGTCACGATAAGACTGGAATGTATTTTGCTGTTTCCTTTCGGTCCACATCAAAATGCATGCGGTAGTGGCTCTATATGCATTCGATTGTATGCTGGTAAAATGAGCCCACTCTCCGGGTGTTTTTTGACGGTTTGATGTGTGTGAAGTCAGCGCAGCTTAAACAAAGACATTTGCTTTTTACACTTGGAGAGCTGCTTTTCCACGTTTAGGCTGCTGCCCTGACCAAGGCTCAACTCATCTGCTTTTGTTGGCTCCTAGCTTTTCCTCCATATGAATTTTCCTCGTTGGTTGCCTATAGACTTGTAGACTGACCTATTTATCCTACATTATTTGTGCAGACTATGTAGGCCTATATTCACGTGTCTGGCCACACCGTACGTAATAAATTTTTATACCTTTTCCCTTTACATCATTTACACTGTGTGTGTGTGTGTGTGTGTGNTTGGTTGCCTATAGACTTGTAGACTGACCTATTTATCCTACATTATTTGTGCAGACTATGTAGGCCTATATTCACGTGTCTGGCCACACCGTACGTAATAAATTTTTATACCTTTTCCCTTTACATCATTTACACTGTGTGTGTGTGTGTGTGTGTGTGTGTGTGTGTGTGTGTGTGTGTGTTTGCGTGTGCGTGTGTGCAAAATAATTTGTGAAATGTGCTGTAATGCAGGTTGTTAATATTTACGCATGCAATTGTTATAGTTGTAGGCTAAATTAAAACAAATGCAATAGGCTACAGAAACGCACAAATTAAGTTAATGTGAATGTAGTGGAGTCAAACTAAAGCAGTAAATCCCTGTTAAACTGTAGCCTGCTTCTCACCCCGGTAAAACAACGTGAACAGTGATTGGGCTGGAAGCTGAAAGTGCAGAGTCAGGGTTGCTTTTCCCATAAGAATTTCTAGACAACAGTAGGTTACAGCCAGAGCAGCTTGAAACATCCAGTCAAAATCTCCCGTTTAAAAAACATTTTAACAAGATATCTTGGAGCAACAATTGTAAAATATACTAGCATTATTACACACATGTTGATAAATTGTAACGTCAACAGTATTAAATATTATTACTATCAATGCATCTTTTATAAAATGGTGGGAACGGGAGTCTGGGCTATTGTGGGATTACTGAACACAACGTAGTAATTTTAATGCCGAATATATTTCGAGGAATTTTTTGTCTGGTGTCATGTACAGTATCTTGTAGGCCTACTCGTGCACACGTGCATGTGTACACGAAAACACATTATATACACACTCAAACCCCTATGACTTGTCACGGAACATGCACACAAGTGTGCGAGCACGTATGCACGCACACAAACACTCACACGCACACAAAGAAAGACACGCACAATCTGAATGCACGTGCACATCTCATTGACACACACAGATACGCATAGGCTGCATAGAAAGCTGAGGAAACGTGGGCTGAGGCCACCACCCACAATGCTGTCCAAATAATGTGACTGTGTAGTATATTATATAGGCTAATTGTTTGAATTACCAGTAGGCCTACAGAAAGCTGTTTTGACTGGTTATTGTGTTTCGCCCCTGAGCCATATTTTCAACACTCAGCGTTATGTCCCGTCTTTGTTTTCTATAAAACACGTGAATCCCCTGTGGCCTGTTCCTCACGGGCAGTGCTGTTGAGCCAAACTCAAGACTGGGCATGCTCATCTCCACAACTTAAAGCCCATTTACTTATTTACAGACCATTCAGTGTATGTTGAATAGCATATGTATAGATATATGTATATATGTAGTACTTATATATATATGTATATATATGTATGTGTGTGTGTGTGTGTGTGTGTGTGTGTGTGTGTGTGTATATACGTGTGTGTGCACGCGCGCGCTTGTGTGTATGCTACATATGGACCAAACATTTTAATAGCCTCCATTACAGTGGCTGTGCGTAATGTGGTATAAAGTCGTAGAGATAATTAATAGTTATAATTATAGTATCTCCAGTGTCAATCACAAAATCACCTTCTAGTTATGAAGTAGTTTATACTTAACTCGTTAAACCGCCGCACAAGTTGCTGGTGAATATTAAGGGTTAGACTCAGTATTGCAGTTGAAACACGCCATGAGAATCACTGTCTGGTGTGTCTGTGTGTGTGGGTTAGTGTATGTAAGTCTGCCCAATCACTTTAGCTTAGTTATCTCCAGTTCAACTCCAGTGCAGCCTACCTCTGGGTCATCTGACCTCACCGTTTTAAACACAACTAGGACCTGCACGTCAAACTCTCATCGCTCTATTTGCAGCAAAACTGGCTTTTCGCGTGCTGATTCTGTATGACAGCATTGCTACATGGAGCATGTGGAGTTTCACGGATGCAGCAGAGTGAAGTGAGAGGAGGGGCAGCTTACTGAGGTCCAGTTCCCCGGGGGAATAACTCTGTGCCCGGCTTGGGAGATGCAGGGAGGAACAGACAGTCAAGGCTTGTTTCGTCCTGAACACTGCATGTCTTCTGCCTTCGGGAATCTGGGTTTCTATTCTGTTTGACACAATACGTGCTTATTGCTTTTTTTTTTGTTGCTCTGATCGCACAGCTACAGTTTAGCCAAGGGTCCTCTAAACAGTGTAAGCCGCTGAACACTTCTCTTCTATGACCTAAATTAGTCTACATCCAAACTGACCAGTCGTGTGCACTTGGCGTAGAATACAATTGTCCTATAACATAATTACTCTACATCTTATGCCACAAAATAATGAGATTGCACAGAAATTATACATAAATGTTTGACGTTAGATTAGTTCTGCCACTGGGGTCAATAAAAAAAATCCACATAACTTTCTTCATAGTTTTATCAGCAGGTTCCAGTGCTGATGGTAAGGAGCAAACATGGTTTCAAACTTAAAACAGTTTTCAGTAGGCTACTATGCCTTACACACACAGTTAGTGACCTGCAGGAGCAGTAGCCTGTTCACACGAAAACTTTCAAGGTGATAGGATATGTCTGTAAGTGGCACATGTATTATTTTTATTTATATATATATATATTTTTTTTAAAACACGACGATATTTGATTAAAACATTCTGCAACCTGTTAAGAAAAAGACAGAAAAAATGAAAGAAAAATCGTTGTCACGTGTCATCTGGCAAATCCTCTACCGATAAAGTTTCTCACACTGGTCCTATAGTAATGGCGATTGCTCCATGCTAATTCCATTATCGTTGTTTTTTTTTAATTCAAGCTCTCATCCGAATATTTGAATTGCGGGCCATACAATAACAAACAATGTTATGTCCATAGAAGAATTACTGAATAAAAATATCCTTGTGTATATACATAGGCTATATTTGATTATCTCTAATTAAGATCAGAGACTCTTTGTTATGCAGATTCTGGATACACCAGATGCCACAGGGCACTTATTCCCCCCTCTCCTGTGCCTGGATGTCGGCCGGGACCGGAGGGGAGGAGACGAGACCAAGCGACCGAGAGAGAGACCTCAAGCACGGTGGAGGTTTCTTGCAACAGCTCGCTGTGTGCTAATGATGCAGGGGAAAAGCCTCAGACGATCAAATCTTTGATTTTAGGCTTATTCCTAGTGGTGGACATCAGTCTGCTCTTGTAGCTATAGGCTTGGTGTGTTACAGTGCGTGGTGCTCACTTTAATCTTGAGATAGGTTTATATGTTTAGGACATGAAGTTTAACCTTCTTCTTGGAAGTCAGTGATTTTGTAATTTAGATTCATTAAGTAATAAAATGGTCCTCAATGTAGCCCACATAGTGAGAATATCAAAATAAAATATAAAAGTGAAACATAAATAATAAATATAAAAAAAGTTTATTTAGTAGCCTATGGCGCCTTTTGGCTACTTCTTACTGCTGGTGAGCGTTTTACCTACTTTTTTATTTTCCACTACTTCACTGTGGAAGACCGAGGCTTAATGGGGAGATGGACGGATTACGGTAAGGACACACACACACAAACACACACAAACACACGCATGCACGCACGCGCACGCACGCACGCGCACGCAGACGCACACAAGTGCACACAGCCAGGAGTGAAATTGTTTCAATTTCAATGACAGAGTAAGACAGACAACTTCAATTATTCCAGCACTGTTTGTGAAATTTAGATCTAAATGGGCATAGTCGACTTCAGTATAGCAGTCTCTCAAAAATAGGCCAGACAGTCTACACACACTCCATACA